ACCCTCAAGCATCAGCTCCTAAGATAAAGTGGAATCAAGAAAGTTCAAAACTTCTATCCTTTCAAAAACTTGGATGTGGAATTCATTTGACATTTTTTGTGTATGAGAGAATTAAGATGCATATATCCAAGCTAATCTACATATATTTTTCTGTCAACAAGGTGGAAAATGGCACTTTGATGATGTAACCCATCTTACTTGAAAGCCTAAGATAAGCTAGATAAATAGAGTCTTAAAAGACCTGCTTACCATGCTGCCAACAAAAAGTTACCACGGCATCTATTTCAGATGTACAAGTGGTCACTTCTAATTTAAGCATCCATATGTTCCTGTATGCAACCAGTATTTCATTTAAACATGAGCTGTGGCCTAAGCAAAGATCTACCAAGATATTGCAAAGCCTAGAGAGACAGATGAGATATATACCTCCATCTGAAAATGATGTTCTTGTATACACACCTCATCTTCATGCTTTCAGATGTTCTACTTGTGCAAGAGAAGTAAACTACTGCCATTCTGTTCTCTCTTTCAGTGTACTAAAATTTATCAAATTATGTAGCTATTCACTAAAAAGAAATAACAACACCAAACAAAAAAATCAGCTTTAGGAAGTGTTTGAATTGTTATGTGAAATAATAATGTGGGCAGTCAATGCAATCAGCAGAGAACTTCAGAAGAGGAACAGGAAAGATGTCAATGAAGTAAATACTGGGTAAATGAGACTCTCTACACAGGATTTATAATGTAAGCAGCACAAGGCTTTTAAGTATAACATGTTTGCCAATTTTAGAATGTTGTAAAAAAGCCTGAAAAGACTTTCCCTCCTATAAATATGTGAACCAGACTTGTTGTGTTTCTAAATACAAAATGTTGCCCATAGAAACTTTCTAAGAGTATTAAGATTAAACCCCAGCAGCTTCAGAAGAACTATTTCAGACAGAAATGTAGTAATTTACGGGTCAGGTTGAGAGATTCTTATCTCCCAGCCTTCTTGGCATCCTATGTCACTGAAACGGTATTATTTTTTGTAGTAACTCATACAGAAATGGTAGATTGAGTATTTTAAACTGCTTTGACACAGCATCTTGTAATGATCTGATCAACACCTAACACACATGGAAAACAATAACCCTGGTCCTATTTGATTTATTAATATAAATTTATACATATTAATTATTAATTAATTAATTAATGATTCTTTTGGCTACAATGCCATGCTGGCAACTCCCTAATGCCAGCTGATCAAGCTCCCTAATTCCCAGGTCCTTGACAAAGTTACAGGTTCTCAGGACAAAGTCCTGCACCTTGATACGTACTGATAAAGCTTTTCATGCATTTTCTGGTAGTGCAGTTATTTAACTCTTATTATAGTACACACTATGAAAAAACACCTATTTCTCTGGTATACTCATTTCCAGTCCTTTAACGATGAAGTTACCTACACATGTAAGCAGTTTTCATTAGTTGATAACGTTTAGGTAGTACAGAGTGAAAAATTCATTATTTTGTTACTGCAAACTGCTACATCCAAACCAGAAATGTTCCTCAGTTTCCAAATTCTTTTTTGCATCTGTTGGCTATTCAGTCTATTAATCCAACTGTTGCATGGCAAGTTAATTTTATAAACTTATTAAAAATTCAAAGAACCCTGACTATATGATATTAACAAACTTACCCCTATCAACCAAACTTGAAATCTGATCATGCCAGTCGAAAGGTTAAATTGACAAAGTTAATTTTCCATAAACTGCATTACCTTTCTTCTTTGTGAAGTTCATATTATCCATGCTTGTGTAATTTATGATGACCTTTTAATACTTATAAATACTGTCATAACAAAGGAGTTCTTCCAGTTAATATTGTGTTTTGGGTGTAAATACCTTAACGATGGCTGCTGGGTTTAGCAATGATAATTATTCTAATATAATATTGCTTTTTTTTTTTACTTAAAAGAAGTCAGCAGTCCTTACAAGGGATGTGTATAATCTTCCTCCCACACAGTGTATCTCTGACAACAAAGAGGCATGCCACTGAGAAGGGAGAGGCTGGAGAAGGATATATGCATGTTAAATGTTACATATCTTTAACCTCCACTCAAAGGTATCCATTGAAATGTATAGGAGGGATCAACTTCAGTGATCATCTGAAATACCACAAAATTTGTTTACATTGATTGATTGCTTGAAGAAGAAAGGACATTAAATTTTTCACCAAAATTAATATTTGATAAAAGCCATTCCTAAAGAAAATTGATTTTTCCTAAAAAGGTGTTGCTAGTCAGAACCTAAGGGGAGTTTTACTATGATACTGGAACAATGTTCTGAAAAGGGCATCAGAGTGTATCACTGAGAGTAAGAACTGTGCCCTTGCCCACAGCTTGAAAATTAGAAATCATCATTTTGGGGTTACAAATGCATCCAACATTCCTCTAGATTTTCTTCCAAAATCTCCAGTACAGATGTTTGCTAAAACAAGGTTGCTTAGTTTATGTTGCTTACCAGTACTGCAGGAGAAAATAAGACATCGATTCCATGATTATGTGATCTCTTTTACTACTCCTGGTACTTCCACCTTCCTGGAAAGTATAGCTTCTCCTTGATCAAATGAGAGATTAATCTGGATCCAGGTTTTGTGTCACATAAAAAGACCGCTAAATGAATCAGCTTCTGAATTCTTTTAGGCACTGCTGTTCTAAAATATCAAGCTAACCCTTTCCTGCTACCTTATCCTTGGTCTCAGTGTTCTCAGCGGTATTTGATGGTACCTCTTCACTCAACAGGAATTCCTTATTAGTGTTGGCTCTAGGCTGTGTAAAACAGCATTAAGATTTTTTATCATTTTATTGCCATGCAAGCATGCTACACTTATCAACATCAGAACTTCTGTGCATGCAAAGAAAATGTGAGACTTTCAGAAAGGCATAATGGTCTTCCCTTACTTGCTGTTAACCCACTTTGGCTTTTTAACTTCTCAAAGATCTATAATTGCTCTATTCTTCTCAACAAATCTTTCTTCACTTTTCAGACAGCCATGAGAGGATAGATTGGTTTTGCTGTAAAGCCTCTGGTGGAAAATTTACTCAGTCATGACTCTTGGTTCATAACAATAATAATCAGTCCTTAATTGCATGTTGGCTGCTCGCAAATGCATGAGAAGAAACCATGTATAGAGGTCGCCCTGTCTGTAGGAATGTAACATAAACACTGCTACTTAATTATGAATGAGGCATCGTTTCATGTTTAAATCCTGAAACCTGTCTTTAATTTTTTTTTCTTGATCATCTTCAAGGTGTTTTGGAGATATTGTACATACTGGTGTGAACAGGAGTATTTCTAGCTTCCTCTATTTTTACATATTTCTGGTATTTCTCTCCAGCAATAGATGAATTTCCACATCTATTTATTATCATTTCTTTTCACTTTTCTTCTCCTCTTACTTGGTTTTTCCCCAATTTCTCCTTAATCTTTCTCCCTCTCCTGATTTTTTCACTGTTTCCCTCTTCATATTTTCTTTTTCCCGTTCTCCCTTGCTTCCCTTTCCCCACATTCCCCTCCTTACTTTTCTTCACCTTTTCCCGTATTTCTTTGCCTTTTGATTTCCAGCCAGCAAAATGCAATTTGCATGGGCTCTTCAGCACCTGTTGATCACTACTAACCTCTGCAAGCAGGCTCCTCCAGCAGCCCAACCTGCCACATCTAACTCAGGGACTCCAAAGGCATTAGGAGGACACTGCCTTTCATCAAGATCCAGAGAAGGGATGGTACTGTCCTAAATGTTGAGATAGGAATGTTCTTTTGCCAAGGCAAGGAGATTGGAAAAAAAAACATGGTGCCAACTACACATTACCTGATTTATTATCTTCTGGTTAAAGCAGCCTGTAGGGAAAGTAGCATGCCAGTGTAGTGCTCTGGTGCACTGACCCTTCTGAGCTCTTGTTAACGCTCACCATACTCAGCATTTCCTCTCATTGATTGATAGGATGATATGTGTATGTATGGCAGTGAGTAGATTTATTACAGCACATTAGCCAGACAGGCAGACAAATGCCCACAGGGGCAGAAATTCTGTAAGGCATAAATAAAAACTTCATTATTTTTCTTAAACTTCTTTTCTTCAGGCTGTGTTGAGGAATACTGGAGGAACAGAAGAGTGGCGGGAGACCAGAAGAGAAAGGGAGTGGCAAGAACTGGAAGGAAAGTTTATTAGCAGTGAGAAAAATGCTTAAAATATTCATTGTTTGGATCCAGAAGTTGAATAGTGGCTGGATCTCTGCTTACCTTTTCTTTCCCTCTGCTAAATGAGAAAGAAAGGGTCAACACATCAGACATCAAGCTATCAGAACGTTCCTGATATAAAAGCTGTGAAATGACTACTTGGATGGTCTGCCAGCTGCTGTTCAGCATTCCTCGGTTTAAAAAATGAAAAACAAACTGGTATCAGCCTTTATCAACAGCTGCCACCGTGTGGTATCTGAAATACCACATTTACGTCCCACTTCAATATGTTTTTCAATACCTACCTAGCAGGCACAGATCTACCAGGAGGCAGCATCTCCTCCCTCCTGGCATCAACGTGAAGCTGCCTGCCCCCCCACAGGGTAAGGGGGCAAGAATTCCACCCCATTCCTGTTCCCTGGTTGCTGTCTGTAAATGCTGTATGGCATGGAAGGAAATCTCCAGGGCCATTCTACTGTCCAAAAGAAGGATGGGATATGTTGTCAGCCCTAGATCATTAGAGAGTCAGTCCTAAGATTAACAAATCAAGGAACATGTTTTTAAGCAGAACAGGTACAAGACCTAGTTAATAGTCTAGCATCTGCTTGTCCTATATATTTTTTAGAAAATATTAACTCCAACAGTTTTATCCCTCTCCTCCCTCCTGGATTTCATGTAGATGTTCTTCAAAAATGAGCTAATTATGTTACAATTAAGAATAATTTTTTGCAGATAAAACAGCATTCAGAAATAGTCTTTGTAAATGTCTTCTGGTAATATAGGTACCTCTGAGATTGCTGGAGCTTTGTCTGATGAAAACTGTGCTCCCATAGGCAAAAATCCATTGAACCCAGGGTATTGTGAGAGTGGCATGTGGCACTGTGGGTAACGTGCATGGGCTTCTTCTTGAGAATACTTCTCTGTCCACTCTTGATCCCGTAGCCTTCCTCTGAGTTGAAACTGTAGTCCAGGCAGTGCCTGCAGCATTGCTTTAATTCTTCCCTTTCCACAATTAGCAGAGCTGAAAAAATCACTGTAAAACATACACAGAAAATAAAGGAAGCAATTTAATTTCTTGCACAATGTACCTTTACTACTGCAAGAGAAAAAATCCTTAAATGTAAAACCAAATTAATGTAATGGTTATAGGGCATCCATAAGGACACAGTCCCTAACACACTACTGGAAAAAAAAAAAAAAAAAAAAAAAAAAAAGATGAGAAGAAACCGTTGGTATTCACTTAACAATCATGTTTGGAGGTTTGTGACTGACTTTGTTATTCCAAGGGAAGCCAGATACCAGTCTCTTGGGATTAGGTACAAAGGCGAGAAAAAAGTGGACATGTATGAATCTCAAAAGTGACTGCTGGGTTAATAAAACAGTCTGTTTTCTGTTCACCCACTCTTCCTCTCAGTGTGCAAGTACATTAAAATATGTCAAAAGGAAAGCCATTTGCCGGGGAAAAAATAATTTCAACTAAAAGTCAAAATTTCCAGCTGGTGTATTGCCTTGGTGTGTTCAAGTGCGCTAACAAAGTGACCCACACATCTCACTGGATGAAAGTTGGTATCCTCATTAAAGTAGAAACAAACACTTGAAAATAGGAACAACTGCCAGTCAAAAAAAAAAAAGAAAAAAGAAAAAAAAAAAGAATCACAACTGATATGAGAAGCCTTCGTTTTTCCACATTTTTTTCCTACTTGTTCTATAGCAAATAAGATATATATTTAAGTATTATCTTGAAAAGTAATGATGGTAAAAACTGATTCTATATGCAGTATCCACTCCTGTTTGCTGGAGGAATTGCATTGCTAACAACCATCCACATTATCATTCAATGTTTAGAAGAAGAAATATTTTCACAGTCCAGTATCTAAACAGTCACATATAACACAAGGATTGGTTCCTGCAAAAGCAATCCTTTCAAAAATGAGTAGCTCTGGGGAAGAAAACTTCATATCAGAATTACTCACACTAGAAAAGGTTTGTGGGATCAGCCTCCAACCCTTTAAAATTGTAGCACATTTATACTGGTGTGTACTGTCTTTGCCTTCAGGAATCACAATAAGATTTGAGCACTATCACTAATTCACTGCAGTGTGAATAATTTTGCAATAAGAACAACATGAGACATGAGATCTACTGTTCATTGGCCCACACCCTCGGATATAGCATTACCAGATTAAACAGAAGTCAAAATGACAGAAATGGTACATAATAATGTGAGCTGATTTTTTTTGTTAATTGCTATGTGATTTTTCCCTGGAAAAAAATAAAATAAGATAAAATAAGATAAAATAAGATAAGATAAAATAAAATAAAATAAAATAAAATAAGAATAAAGAAGAGTGAAGAGATTTTGCAAAATCTCTACTGTCCACAGCAGAGTAATTATAATGAATTATCTGAAGAACAGAATCACAGAATGGGTAAGGTTGGAAAAAACATCTATGGTTGGAGACTACAGAGCATTCTCAGAGAGCCTGTTTTAGTATTTTTCCATAAATAGGTGGGTTTTTTTTTTCTTATGTTTAAGAGGAATTTCTCCCACTTCTGTTTGTGTTCATTGACTCTTGACCTGTCCTTGGGCACCACTGAGAAGAGCCTGGATCCATCTTCTTTACCTCAGGTATGTTTTTCAGGTGTTTATACACATGGAAAAGAACTTCTTGAGCCTTTTCTTCTTCAGTCTGAACAATCCCAGCTCTCTCAGCCTCACTGAGTAGCTTACATTATTTCAAGTTCTTCAGCATCTTCACTGTCTTAAGCTGGACGTCTTCCAGTATATACCTGTCCCTCTTGCGCTGCAGGATCCAGAACTGAACTCAGTGCTCCACCTGTGGGCTTCTCAATGCTGAGCAGCGAAAAATCACACCCTCAACCTGCAGGCAATTGCTCCTGGTGCTATTGACCTTTCTCAATGCCAGGTCATGTTGCTGGCTCATTGTCCACCAAGACTCGCAGAGCTTTTTCTGCAAAGTACATCTGTTATAGTGACCACTCATCCAACTTCTTTGTTTTCTGCAAACTTGCAGAGATCATCTGAGTCATTAATGAAGATTTTAAACAATACTGGACTCAATATGGATTCCTAAGGGACACCAGTTGTTACTGACTTCCAGGTAGACTTTGTGACACAGATCACAACACCTGGAGCCCAGCATTTCACCCAATTTTGAATACACCTGTTTATCTACTATTTAATCTATTGTTGATCAGTTTTTCTATGAGGATGCTATAGGACAAAGCTTCAAAGACCTTATTAAAATAAAGCTAAGCAATACCCACTGTTCTCTCTCACCAAGATTGTCAATTCACTACAGAAGGCTATTATGTGGGTTTGCATTTTCTTTAGTCTTCATTTTGTTGTGCATCTACTTGTAGAAACTCTTCATGTTGTTCATGTTCATCTCCATATTCAATGCCAAATGGAACTTACGATCTTAGTCAATTTTCAGAGTATATTAACAAGACTTTTTAGAATTTGCATTGTTTTTTCTTATGCTTAGAATTCTTTTTCCCATTAAGGAGAACCCTATTCAGGGTTTTGTTTATATTTTTGTTTTTAAACACATTTTATTAACCTTACAACCTATAATAGCCATTAAGTATCTGTTATGAGCCAATTTGTCAATACATATCCGAGAACACAAAAAAAAAATTAAAGTATTACATAGAACACTTTTGGTCGTAACAGCAGCAGTAGTGGAAAAAAAGAAAGCCTGACAAATTTTTCCTCATGATCAAGGCTTTTTTAATGCATTTCTTACTGCCCAATATTCACAAATAGACATCAATTCTAAATTGATTTCAGCAAAGCTAATCCCTGCAATTGTGCACAGAGTGAAGTCTAAGTGTCCAAAACAAATGTCAGGACAAGAACTTGGTTTTATTCTTTCAGATCAGCTGAGACTGATGTAAGCAGCTCACGGAAACTACAGCCTTGCTTCTCACTGCAACCTCTCCTAATAGATACAAACAAAAGAGAAAGCTGATGAACAGTTTGACTAAGTCATTTGGTGCTGACTGAGGAATAAAGAACATAAACTTCTGAGATATTCTAACTGCTACTGTCACTTCTTAGCCTCAAAGAATAAATGGTTAGGCCTCTTACACACTGCTCAGCACTGCAGAGAGGAACTGTGGCCCCTATCTCAGGCAAAACATGGAGCTGTTGGAGTGGCTCCGTAGAAGGGTCATGAAGGTGTTCAGGGAGCTGAAGCATCTCTCCTACAAATAAAGTTTGAAGGAGCCGGGCTTCTTCAGTCTGGGAAAGAGAAGTCTTCAGGGAGAGCACATTGTGGATATTCAATGTTAAACATGGTGCCTACTGAAAAGATGAGGAGGGACTCTTTATCGAGGAGTACAGTGGCAGGACAGGGAGTAATGGTTTTAAACTAAAAATGAATAGATTTAGTATAAAAATTAGGAAGATTTTTTTTATTATGATGGTAGTGAGGCACTGGAACAGGTTTCCCAGGGATGTTATAGATGCCGATCCCTGGAAGTGCCCAAGTGAAGATGACTCAGAGCCCTGTGATCCTGAATGAATAACTTGCTTTGCAGGCAGGTTTCATAGTCAGCTTCTTACTATAGCTCAGAAGAAGCACAAGTCATCTCATTTTCAAGGAAGGTCACCTTGATCTTGTATCTGAACACAAGACTGCTCAACCATGTGGTTAGCTAGTGGGCTCCCTAGCTTCTGCAGTGTGAATAGTTTCTCTTCCTTTCCTCACTGGCCCTCTCTACGTGCTTAGACCAAACTACTCTCGTGTGGTTACCTGGAAAGTTCTGAAATATGAAAACTGAGAAGATGGCTGTGATCAGTTCTTTCTGGCAACTGTAGTCTTATCCTGCCTGTTTAGTTGTCACACTTGCATACTAAGAGCCTAACTTTGCAGTCCTTTTGCAAGCAAAACTCCCCACTGACTTATGTCTTTGTTTTAAAAAAATTACTGGATATGCAGAGCAGCAGTTCTGAACAAAGAAATTCTGCCATTTTTCTTTTAGTTTTCCTCTTCAGAAATGCCCTAAGGCAGTCATCTATTTCAGTCAATGGAAGGATGAAAATTTTTAACCAAAAAAAAAAAAAAAAAAAAGTATTTTTTAGCAATAGACACATAAAAGACACCTAAACCCACTGATATTATTTTTGTCTACATTGAGGACTACATTTCTTCACAAATCATTGACCTTATTTTTAACTCTTTGTTTGCCAACTGTTTGTCTGAAGCAACTTTAGACAGTTAAGGAATCTGTGATTTTATAGGAACAGATACTTATGATCCCTTTGTTATACCAGTAGGGAAAAAACATGTAGAATTTCAAGTTTATTTCCATTTATAAAAGCTTCATTTCTCTCAGCATTTCTTTCAGTTAAGAAAGTAAAAGTCAAATTAAACAGAAATTATTATTTTATAACAGAAATCCAACTTGATTTGTGCTACTTGTACATATTTACACAAATAGTTCAATAAAGTTAATCCTACTTAACCTCTGTGGTCATTTAAAATACAGTTTGCATCTTCCTATTTTTTCTTCAGAACTGATCACAAAGTAGGGAAAAAAAGTCATGCAATCTCTCTTTTGTATTTTCATTTCAGTTCATAGTTTCAGGCTTTAGAATATTTCTAGTCAGACCAACAAGCTAAAGAATTGCAGTGGAAACAATAGTGTAAGCTGGGTTGAAATTACAAGTAATTAAATCTCACAAGAATTTTCATGAAGGTTATATTTAAAAAAAAAAAAAAAAAAAAAAAAAAAAAAAAAAAAAAAAAAAATTGATTTTGAAATATCCAGTGAGTATATACAAAGAATCTTAACTTTGATCTGTAGCAATGCAAAGGGAAAACAAAACAAAACAAAACAAAACAAAACAAAAAGTATATTCTGAAGGCAGTTCAATCTCTGCTGCTCCAGAAAAACTGATTTTTAAAAATTCAATACCATTTATGTAATGCAAAGTCTGGCATACTATTTTTTTATTATTATTATTATTATTTCTAGTTTAAGTAAAGTATAAGATAC